CTTGATAACACAGAGCCTGTCTTTCCACTGATAGTGGTACAGTACTCATTTAAACTGAAAACTGCTTCCAATGATGGCATTAAAGATACACATCGATGAACATGATACAATCAGTGTGTGCAGTTCTTAAGGCCTTTTGTTTTTGGTGTGACGTGGTTGTTACTGGTGAAGGAACCCTGCTTACGCTTCAGACGACGTTCTTGATTAGACGTCCAGGTGCCCAGACTGAGGTGCAGCCATCGCATCAGTAACGTGTAAACAGTTTGGGACACTGCTGTGTTTGGAGGTTCCTGTCGCCCTGTACTGGAGAAGAGGTGGATTATGAGTCATCAGACGGAGCTCGTTTCACTCAGTGAACACTTTTATTTTATGCACCAGGCAGCATGAGCACATTCTGGAGGAGCCTGCGTTCAGCACCACGTCTCACTGAAGTTGGGAACGTACCAACTGTAGCTGATGCTGAGTCTGTTCTCTATTAAAGTGGAACATTAATGAACAGAGTAAAAAGGCGCTGTCCCGCCACCTGCTGCTTTAACCCTGGCGTGCTAACATTAGCCGGCGTGTGAAGGTCATCCAGCTCTTTCCAAACTCCTCACAGGGCTGATATTAGTCCTGCACCAAAATCTGTTTTCATTGCAAATAACTGTTTTTGTTCGACTACTTTTGAGAACATTTCTCCTTTGATCAGCACAGAAAGGACAGAAGCTCAAATCCACCTTCTGCAGGAGCGTGCCGTGGTCCACGGTCGGCACGATCCCACAGGAACTTATCCAAGAACAGCGCTCACATCTGCATAGCTCTAGTCTTTACCAACCACACGCACACACAGGACTTTATTCTGTACACTTCATGCACATCAGCTCCATGACCACCAGAATGACCATTTACCCAAGCATGCATGTCTTGACTGTGGGAGGACTAGCTGGAGCAAACCCATGCAGCACAGGGAGAGCATGCAACGTCCACACAAAAGGCCTCAGCCAACCACGAGACACCGCAGTGCTAACGCCGACACGGGCGCCGCCCAGGCCGACAGCACTCAGCTGCTTCTATGCTGTCTGATGTTGTTCTGCGTTGGAAACTGCCACAGCCTGATGGGAAATGACTTTTGGCTTCTCAACACTTGATGCGTTTTTGCAAACCAGAGAGGAACTTTGTTTATTATCATCACGGGTTCTCAGAGTTGTTCAAAACTGGAACTGAAGTTGCACTTCTCCAGTCAAAAGCCTGGTCCAAGTGTGAGCGAGCTATACACCAAGTTTTACTTCTTCATTCCCAAAATGTAAACGGCCATACAAACCAGTGACGTCACAGAGCTACAGACTGGTGTCAGACGAAAACTCAATCCTGTGGGTTAGTAAGAACAGAGCCAGGACAGCTTCAGTGCTACAGCATCGTCCATCACCGGGCGTGTTGATGATGCAAGGCTCGCTCCATCACGTACGGGTCCGTGCTCGTGCCTCGACAGTGGCCACACTGGTATTGTAGGAGAGGTTCCATCATCATGACCAATTTATACTGGTTTTCAGTGACTCACTTCTAACTATGCCAGCAGCACAACAGAGCCAAACCAAACTGGAGTTAGTGTCCCAACAACTGAGCAAACATCTGGAACTCAATCTGATGGTGGCCCAGTCACAGTGGACCAGTACAGATGTTACTCCCAATAAATTAGACTCCAGCTCATCTAACCTTTTACTTCCCTGCTGCTGTGCACACGTACATCATTGTTGATAACCTGTGACGTCTGTACCACTCGTTAAAAAGAAAAACAGGATATGAATCAGTGATTTCAGGCCTACCCAACCATCAGCAAGCACTTCATGTGACGTGGCGTTTAACCACGGTTAGTCTTTATGAAAGTGAACACTGATGCAGGGTAGAGACAGGGTCATGGAGCATCATCAAAGAGAATCAACAGGAAGAGGAAACAGGGCAGCCCATGCCACAAAATCCAGGCGTCTGGTACCAGAAGTCACTAAAGTCAAAATGTTGGGGTCAGGAGTAATTTTCACCCCCACTGTCACGCCACTGCCTGCTGTCCCCTCATTTAGTGAAAGCAGCCACCACAGCCCACAGCAGCTCGTTGGCGTTGGCCTTCATGCTCTCCCCTTCTGGCTCCAGTTCCAGCAGCTGCCGCACTCTCTTCATGGCGAGGTCATACTGATCGTCTAACAAGGGGGCAAAGGCATTTTCCAGAACATCAGAGGAATGGGCTAAGAAGATGAGAGCCAGGAGCCGCTTGTCCATTCGATGAGGATCGTTCACCCACTTGTCCAGCAC